AACTATATTTTACCTTCTGTGAAAAAAGTGTAATATGTTTAGTTTATCCCAGCTTTCATAGCGCACAGCTGTAATAGAGAGGGAGACAGACATACTCACATTCATACCTACAGTCAACTTAGAATCACATATTAACCTAACGTCTTGATGCATGCTCAATCATTAAGGTAAGTAAATCCCAAAAGGTGGATTCTGTTCATCTGGACGTAGCGTTGCGTCACTCATCCAAGGGAATTCTTCAGTCTCGAGACTGAAGAATTCAATTGGATGAGTGACAAAACATTTTTCCCATTGAAAACGTAACGTCCAGATGAACAGCTATTAACCTAACCTTTGCATGTCTTTGGACTGTGGGAAGAAGCCATGCAGACACATGGAGAAGATTTAAACTCCACACAGAACTAACCTTCTTCCTATGAGTCACGAGTACTAACCACTGCATCACCATGCAACCATCTTCATAATTAGGGTTTTATTTTTTACTTGCCTCTTGATCCATCAGGACATGTGCAGCAGGATTTATTGGTGGATCTAAACAAAGTATTAAAATCCCCATATGAACATTCATTACACGGGAACACATTACATTTCAAACTGGCACATTTGATCCTGTTTACTTGCACTGATGACTTACCAATGTCGGCAGGAATGCAGCGGCGCAGGGGTCTCGCTGGCTCCAGGTGCTTTTGAAGGATTCTTCTCCTTGATACCTCCATTCTGGCGTCAGTAAGGTTCAAACATGCTTTAAGCCAACTAATTTCTACAAGCCTACTAAGCAGTGCTGCATTAACAGAAGGAGACATTAGTCACTAATATATTACTTTTCAGTGTTTTAAAAAGAGGGGTTTGGAGTCCAAACCAAGGCCAAGGCTGCATATCAGGAATACTTACAACTTTTCACTATAGTGTGTAATGATTTATGACCCTATAAATTATTGATATTATTTTATTCCCATTGGTAATGACTTTATTATTTCATAATTAAGTATCTTTTTTTACAGCTACAATATTCAAATACTTCACTAAATAATTTGAGTTTATTGGTATGAAAAGTTGTAAATGTCATGCATCTACATAACAAGATGATTGCTTAGATTTTGTGAAACTAGCAAAATAAACAAAAACAAAAAAACGTTTGTGATACAAAACCAAACTGCAATCACAGTCCCTGTTTCAGTTCAATTTATATACAGTCATGTGAGAAAATTAGGACACCCTATGAAAGCCTGTATATTTTAAAATATATTTGGCCATATGGATATTTAATGCCAATTTTAATGATACTGAGGAATCCAAATAATATCACTAAACAATTAAAAAAAATAAGAAAAGCCTTTTTAAAATTTTATGTGAAATGTAATTTTAAAAGAATGCAATTTCTGGTGAGGAATAAATTAGGACACCCTCACATATTATCCCACTTAAAATGGTTAAAATCACACACAGGTGTATCACATTAGGTGCACATGATCAGTACATCGTTAACCAGCATTTTAAAAGAACCTTGCCTTATCTATACCTCAGATTTAGTTTGGTGTACTCCTGACTGTTGAAGTGAGCACCATGGTGAGAAGTGAAGAGCTGTGTGACGCTCTCAGAAAGAAGATTGTGGCTGCTAAGAGTCTGGTAAGGGATTAAAAAAAGATCTCAAAAGAATTTGAGCCATTCCACCAACTGGAAAATTGTTTACAAGTGGAGGACATTCAAAACAACTGCCACCATGCCCAGGTCTGGCCGTCCCAGCAAATTAACTCCCAGAGCAGAGCGCAAGATTCTCAAAGAAGTCATCAAAAATCCTAAAATGTCATCACGGGAACTACAGCAGGCTCTGGCTACTGTCGAAGTGAAATGCATGACTCTACTATCTCTACACAAGTTTGGCTTTCATGGGAGGTGTGCAAGGAGGAAACCTTTGCTTACTAAGAGTGAACAAAGACAAAGACCATGACTTCTGGAATAATGTTCTTTGGACAGATGAGTCTAAAATTGAATTATTTGGACACCAGAACAGTAGACATGTTTGGCGTAAACCAAATACAGCCTTCCTCATACCAACCTCATACCAACTGTGAAGCATGGAGGTGGCAGCATCCTAGTTTGGGGATGCTTTGCTGCAGCAGGACCTGGCCAGCTCACCATCACAGAATCCATCATGAATTCTGCTGTGTATCAGAGGGTGCTTGAAGAACATGTGAGACCATCTGTTAAAAAATTAAAGCTGAAGCGGAACTGGACACTAAAACATGACAATGACCCAAAGCATACCAGCAAATCTACCAAGGACTGGCTAAAAACTAAGAAGTGGAGAGTCCTGGAATGGCAAAGTCAAAGCCCTGATCCTAACCCCATTAAGATGCTGTGGGGTGACTTGAAACGGGCTGTACATGCCAGAAAACCCTCAAACATCTCACAGCTGAAGGAATTCTGCACTGAGGAGTGGAGCGAACCTTCTTCTGATCATGTCAGAGACTGGTAAAAAGTTACAAAAGGCGTCTTGCTGAAGTTATATGAGCCAAAGGAGGCAACACTAGTTATCAGGGGGTAGGGTTTCCTAACTTTTTCCTCCATTAAAACAAACATTTTTGGGGTTTTTTGATGTTTCACAAAATGTTCATTTATGTTGTTTAATTGCAATTATGTCGCTTTCTTTTCCAGTAATACATAAAATCATGATTGGAAATTGATATGTGAACAGTTCATAATAAAGAGCTGATTAGTTAATGGGGGCGTCCCAATTTTCTCACATGACAGTACACAGTGCCAAATCACAGCAACAGTCACCCCAAGGCACTTTATATTGTACAGCAAAAAGTATTAACTCATCTGGCGTTAACTCATCCAGGTGTGAAAGTGTGTTTTGTAAGAAGTCACAGACAAGGCTGGCCAAACAACAACAACAATAATAATAATAGTAATTTTGTTTACACAATTTTTCATTTCATCTTTGTTTAAAGAAAACAACGATTAAATGCGGTGTGATATCTGTGATGAAAAGGAAGAATTACTGATAACGATAAACACAAATAGGGAAATTTCAAAGAAAAAGAAAGTATTCACATTTTATTAGCTAAAATAGTCTGGTCAGGGTTAGACCGTTAAATATCAAACTCCTAAGGTTTAGCATACAGAGAAACAGAATAGAAAAATAATTAAATAAGAACCTTACATAAATAATAAATTCTCCGGCTTAATATACTTAAATAAAAATCGGTTTAATGTTAGTTGTTTATTTACTTATTACTTAACATGTTTCTTTTAGCTTAACTTTACTAAACTGGATGTAAGCTAACTTGCCAAACTTTATGAGGCTGTCAACAATAGTTGTTAAAAGCCTTTTCTAAAAATATAAATCTCAATTTAACTGCATTAACAAAACAACTTTTGAAAACAGGTGTAACGATCCCGCTGTCCACTATAACGCGCTCATGGCACCCCCCCAAAAATAAAATGAATCTGTGTAAAGCCTGCGCATCAAGGCAACGGCGAGCAGCTAACGTTAACATTAGCGGTTGATGTGAACGTTCACAGTTCGCTGCGTATTTAATGGTCAGCATTGTGTGTACAGATAGGCTAAATGACGTTAAAACAACAAAACGAGAAAGAAAAATAAGACAAGTAACAGAAAAACATAACTTGGAAAACGATGCAAAAGTTTGAACTCCTATAAACATTTATTAAATCTAACTAGCAACGCTCTGCTCATCGCGCGAATTTATAGATATTGAGGTTTAAAATTTATTCACCTCTTGTTCTACGAAATTCCCTCAGCGTGGATTTCAGCCTGTTCGCCTCACCAGTGTCATGCTAGTCAAGAGGAAGAAAAAACACAAATAACACACGACTTCCGAATTTTTATTTTCAAAATAAAACTCATGCAGTCACCATCATCGATACACGTTCTACTGTTGTGAAAAGGGAGTAGTGTTGTTTCTACATTTAATCTAATTAGCAATTTTATCAATATCTGAATAATGTTTTTTCTGTACAAGTAGGTATTGACTATCGTTACAGCATTTAAAGGAGTGTTTTTTCTTTTTATAACTGTACGGTCTTCTGTAACAGCCGTATTTGATGTGAAGCCACACCTCGCCATTGCTTAGGCGGCTACCAGGACCCGGTACACCTCGTTGCAACATTGGATAAGTGCTTAGTGGTTGATCAACTACCGTTTATCAGTTAACTAAATGTCTTGAGAAATTTTGTATACAAAGCTATTTTAGATTGTTATACACAAGAGAAAATTAGAAATTGTCATTTTAAACGTTCATTTTTTTAAACTAATTTTTCACTATGTTTGAGCTGAGCAGCTCTCCCAGTGCTTACAAATTATGTAAAATGAGCAGAAAGCACACACACACACACAAAAAAAAACCCCCACCACGCAATAGTTTTAGACAGGCCTCTATAGTTATTATTTCAAACCTGTCAGTACACCATACTCACCACTACAGATGAGTAGTGACCATTTAAACGGTGGTCATATTTAAGGTTTTGTTCTTTGAAGGCTGTCTACAAAAAAATAAAATCAAAATGCAGAATATCATAACAGGTCTTTGAGGGGAGAAAAAAAAATACATCACTGAACTCGAAATATTTTTTATTCATTATTTATCTGTATCCCGTATAGACAAGCTTGATCAGCAGATCCTAATTTAATGTTAACAATTCAAAAGCATCCATTTTTATTTTAAAATGACAAAAAGACAGTAAGATGAAATGGAATACACACTATAACAAGTTCAATCAAAAATTGAAATAGAGTATTGCTTTTAGCAGATAAAACAAGGCTAAATTAAATACATGCAAGCTAACTTTATAGTTAGAATCATAAAGCCATCCCATATCAACAGCCCCCAACACCCTCCTTTTTCCCACCCTACATAAAAAAAAAAAAAAAATTTAAAAAATGAGAAAAAAAAAACAAACAAGGCAGTGGTTTTTCAAATCAACATTGTTTACATTTCCAATTACACCTGGAATTTTAAGTGCAATGAAAAGCAATTTTACTTTCACACAAGTAGTAGCTTTATTTTTCTCTGCCCTATTGGTCTCCCACCTAGTTCTTCAACTGCCGTTAAAGCCTCTCGACGAGACTCAAATACCAAAGTAGCAGAGCCTTTAGGTTTTCCACTCTGGTCATACTGCAGTGACACAGATCCAGGTATTATACGATACCCGTAACAAAAATCGTAGATTTCTTCACTTCTGATTTGGAAAGGTAGGTTGAGTAACTGAACACAGGTGGGAGCGTCAAAAGGCTCCACAGGGGAGCGAAAACTGCCACGAACTCCATTGCCCCGGTCTTCTGGAGAACGAGACCGCGCTGCACAAGGCTCATAATCAATACCTCCATGGATGCTATCCTGTGCATTAGTTACTGATATACCCCCATCACGAGGAACCCTGAAGTCAGGATATGAAGTGTCACCAGTGAGATAAGATGCTCTTGCCCAAGTACTGCTCCCGAGATGGGAGCAGTACTTGGGCAAGAGCATCAGGCAAGAGCACCAGTGGTGCAAGAGCCACTGCTGAGATAGCAGTGGCTCTTGCACCACTGGTGGATCAACACCCAACTCCTGCATCTCAGAACGTGTAATGCATTTTAGTATGACTTTTGACCCAAGAAACCGTCGTCCATCGAGAATGAGTGCCCTCATAGCCTCTGTCTCAGATCCAAAGACCACCAAAGCTTGTCCAACCCCAGCACCTTCTCGATCCTGCAGCACACACACATTGTCCTCTGTGATATTAAACCCAAGGAAGAAGTCGATGATCTCAACTTTTCGTACATCGAATGGCAGGTTTCGCACAAACACACATATCTTCTCTGAGTCATAAGGATCACTGGAGTAAGACGCAGGCCCCTCCTGAAACCTTTCAGAGTTTCCAGAAGGCCGGACAGTGGTACCTTGAGGTTTCAGAAGGGCAATCATGTTCTCCCTCGAAACTGGACGGGTATGCACTAGTCGATTGAAAAACTGTCTTTTTTCATGAGCTAAAGCTTCACAATAGTCACGCAAACTCTTGAACAGCACTAGTGCAGATCTTTTTTGTTTCCCATCAGAGTCAATCAAGTGCAGGATCTGGTCATCCCCAAGTTTCGCATTATGAAAAAGACGTTTTATGTGTTCTTTTTCCACTGCAAATGACAGATTTTCCAACAAAACACAGTACTCCCCTTCTGAAGGAGCAATGTGCCTCTGAGCCACAGGTGATCGTGACCTTACACGGTGCTGTGGATCCCTCTGATCGGGAATGGGTGATCTCCCCCTTTGGAAACTGCCACCTATGACAGCTGTTGGCATTCTACCAGTAACCCGATGCCAATCATTCAATGTTGTCGTGGAGATCTCAATATACCTTGCGCCAATGTATTCCCGATCTCTCTTCAACCCTTCCATTGCATCCTCTCTTGTTGGAAATTTGACAAAACCTGTTCCATTGTTTAATCCTTGGCGATTTTTTACTAAAACAACTTCATCAACAACTAAACCACCAAAAAAGTCACAAATTTCCTTTTCAGTGACAGAGAAAGGCAGACCTTTTAGAAACAAAAACACATCATCTGTGTTTGGGGCCCTCTGGAGCAGGGGTGGAGGACTGTCACCCGATCTGCTGGCTGATCTCCTACCCATCTCTGGCTCCATAGATCTGCGAGGATGTCCAATGTCATCTTCAAGCCGCCTTTTCTGATCCCTCTCCACAATTTTTGTTGTTCTGTCGAGCATATTCTGCATCTCTGCTTTACTACTTAACAGCAATGTAACAGGTGAGCCTCTAATGACACCACCTGAACGTATCATGGCTCTTCTTGCATCTTCATCTGAAGCAAAGATATTGAAAGCCTCGTCTCGCTCCCCACCAATTATATGCACCCCTCCATCAGGAATTTTGAGGCCAGTGAAGAACCTGCGAATATCCTCAGAACCTGCTGTGACTCTCAGGCCCTGTAAACGGATGACGACCGCCATGCTGAAGCACAAACAACAGCACCTGTAGACAGAAGGATATAGAATAATATTATTGCCAACAGAGCATCTGTAGCTCTGTGCCAATTTCCCGGCATTTCACTGTACCACCATGGAATCTGAAAAGCAATGCACTCTCAGGGGCAGATACACCATTTACACCAATACCCAAAACGGCCAATTTTAAAAAAAACACACAAGACTGCCTAATAAGAACTGCAGAGGTTAATCACAAAGCCACCTCACATTCTAAAGAGCCAAGCTTCAAAGCACAAAACTAAAGGCCTTTACGTTGAAATCGCAGCAAAATTAAGGAACTAAAACACAGACCATATTAAAACTAAAATTCTGCTCACTATTTAAATTATTTGACTCAAGTTCCCACCAAATTGACTTCACCAAAAACCCAAACAAACAAAAAAACATCGGTGGCACAGTGTTCACCAGCAAATGAGGGGGGAAAAAAATAAAAATAAAACCATACTGGTTTCAATAACCGAGCAAGATTAGTTCTGAAAGATGCCAAGCTGAAACTGAAACCACCTCCCAAAGAAGAAAAATCCTCAATATAGCGAGTCCACTTTCAAGTTTATAAATAATGTCCACTTATTTAGCCAAGTGATCAACTGCAGGAGAACAGCCTCGATGACCAGTCATAAATCCAGCTGTGAAATCTGCGCTTGGTGGGGGGTAGGGAGTAGTTCTTCATCTGGCACTGTCATCTTACAGAAAAAAATGACAAGATCACGCTTAACAGCAGATAACATCTCCAACCGTTAACCTTTGCTCCATCTGTTCCAGACATGATCAAACGCTGCTCCAGATCAGTCTCAGACTTCACAAGCACATTAAGCTGCACATTTACAACACGTGAAACCCTTCAGTATTGCTTTAGAGCTAGGAGTATACCAGTGTGGTCATAGCTCAAAGCAGCATTTTCATTTGTTTTGGGCAAAGAAGTCCTTACTTGACGTTACTTACAATACCCAAATGTATCAATTATGTACATTTTAGCTTCAAAGCTGTGCAAAACACTCCAATGTTTCAGAAGTTAATAGCTGACTGCTCGTAAAAAGCTAGTTAAAAAAAATGTTTTATTCTTCAGCCACCACAAAGTCCACCTCAATTCATAATTAAATGAATTTGGATCTTCTTATAAGCAAACCTAATTAGATGGTGAAAATTCACACTCCTTTGTTCACTCCTTTTTTGTGTTACCAGTTCAGATTTCCTGCTTTCAAGCTGGTCAGACAGGTCGAGCTAGACTGTTGTTTCTGATGAACCAAAGCAGGAAAAAAAAACCCCAAAGAAATCAGGATGTTGTTCTTCTTCAAGGTTTCTTCACAACATTGCCGCCTTGATCCAGCTTCTCCCAATGATTCCAAAACGTGCAGTTTATAGCAG